CTTGGGGCTTCAGCTGTCTTTGGCTGCCTGTTCCTGGCCCTGCTGAGGGCACACTCACCAGGAGAAGGCTGGTCAGGAGGTTGATGCCATCAGAGTCCAACCTGCGGGAGGAAGGAGCTGGCACAGGCCTGGCCTGGGTGGGGAGGGTGGAGTGGCCACCTCCAGGAGGGACAGCCAGGGCCACAAGCAGGAGAGGAGGTGTGGGGAGGCAGGGCTACCTGGGAGCGTGGCTGATGAGCGGCTGCGGGAGGTACCGGGGGAAGTTGTAGACGCGGAACTCAGGCAAGGCCATCACTCCGGGCCACGTCTCTTCTGTAGGGGTCCCTGAGGAGACAAAAGGGGGTGGAGAGGACATGGTGAGGGGCCAGGGCCAAGGGCGACTTGGAGGGGTGCAGCGTAGGGATGGAGGCAGAAAATGGCCAAGGCCGCAGGGGTCCTCGCCCTGCTGTGAGCAGGTGCGGCTGCTGCTCCCGGTCCCTTTATGCGTCTGGGCTGGACAGAGTTCTGACGCCCCCTGGTGGTCATGTTGGGGGAGCGCAGGAGACTGACCGAGGAGTCGAAAGATGAGGTGCAGCTCCTCCTTGACCGTGGAGCCGGGGAAGAGGGGCCTCCCCGTGGCCATCTCGTAGTGAATGCAGCCCACGCCCCTGCGGGGAGTAATGGGCAGGGGCGTGTCAGGCTGGGCCTCCTCATGCCCACCCTTCCGAGGGCTGCGCCACCACGATGCCCTGCCCCACGGTGGCTCAGATAAGTCCTGGCCCTGGGGCTGGTGGCCCAGGACGCGGGAGGCTCCTAGCACAGCCCACCCCCCTACTACGGCCTCTCTGGGGGCTCTCCAAGCTCTAGGACGCTCTGGCCTCTCCCCTTTCACTCTGTAGGGTTTGAGTCTGCACAGCCAGCACCCGCGGGACAGTTCTTAGGCAGGGTTGTCTCAAACTTTTTCCGTGCTGTGTCCCCCATTGAAGGAGATCAGTCATAAACCCATTCTCCTAAAGAACCCCAGGGCACAGGGCACAGTGGACATTCATTGGAAACCTGTGCTTTAGTTTTAGTTTTATTTACTACAACAAATAATACCCATGTTAATTTTAAAAATAATATAGTCTTTCTGAAATTTTCAGTAGAACTGACGCTTGGTTAGAATCATCTTCACTGGGGCCTCCCATGCCCTGGGGATACTG